GGCCGGGGGCCGGGGCGGGGGAGGAGGGCCCCCGGAGGCTCCGCAGTCCGTGCTGAGTCAGGAGCCGCCTGCAGCCAGGCCGGCCCGAAGCGGGGCGGGGCTGGGGTCCCCCGTACCGTGCCGCCCTGCAGGGGAGCCCGCAGCCTGGCGCGAGTCACCTGGCGGGACCCACCCTCCCGCCCCTAGTTCGGCTCAGCTTGGGGCGGGGGATGAGCTGGCCATCGGCAACTCTCCTTTCTTCTGCAAGGGCAGCCAGAGCCAGCGCAGTGCCCCAAGCTCCCTAGGGCTGGGATCATTAGCTCCTGCAACTAGACCGGTGCTTGGGGAGCTGGGGACTCGCTTTCCACCTTGTAATGGGACCCGTGGATAATGAATTGGCAGACCTCAGCACTGAAACAAACGCCCTTCATGCCATGCTCTTCTGCGCTGCTGGGCAGGGGGGAGGGATCTTCCGCTTCTTTCTGAAGCAGTGCTCCCACTGAAGTGCAGGGACCGCGGGAGCCCCCATGTCAGAGATGAGGGAATGGGGACTATCTAATCCCCTCAGCACCGGGGCTTCTGTCGGCCACTTTCTTTTGGAACAGACCTTTCAGGGCTAGTCCGTGTCCCTAGGGTCCAGTCGATATCTCTCCTTTGTTTTTTATCTTGTAGCTACCCCACGGTCAGTGCTGTGATTTGCAAACCTCCCTCCCCCTCCACTCCCAGTACTGTTGCAAACACTTCCCACACTGAATCCCAGGCCCTCGCAGGCAGAGGTCTGATGGGGCTGGAGGCTCCTGTGGACCTGTGCCAGTCCAGAATCTGAAGCCAATTAAATCAACAAGCCAACACCATCTGAACCCTCCCCATGGGTACAGTTGCTGCTGATTCATGTTGCTGGCATGTGCCAGCCAGGGATATGCAGCTGCCTCTTGCTACATGGTGAGCAGTGTGAACAAGGTTTTAGCAATCAAGAGATAGTGGGAAAGGCAGCACTGAAAACAGTTATGAATTGTTGTTGTTGCTCATTCTTAATGGTGATCATTAGCATCCTTGTCTTGCTCCCTGGCTATGGAGTGCACTTGCCTGCATGTGTGACAGAGAAACCAGCTGGATCTCCATGGGAATCTGGTTGGGGCTTAGCAGGTTGCTGGGGATCCTGTGTTAAGTGATGCAGTACTGTCCCTACACTGCAGAGTTGGGGGAAGGAGGGCGTTTCCTCTCAGAACCACCTTGAGGCCCTTGGAGCCATTCATCCAGCCCCTAGTAAGCTGCACAAAGCCCCGCTCTGCCTCCCTGAGCCTGCTGGAGCTGGGAACCTGCTCTCTGCTTCCTGCTGCCTTGCCCTGAGCTCTAGGGCAGCCCAGGCTGAGTGTAGCTGCTCAGTGCACTCAGCTCGGGGAAAGCCAGCCTGCTCCTACTCAAGTCAAAGGCAGGCCCCGGTCATTTGCCTGGCACAGGGCCTGAGCAGGACCAAGGACAGCACCCTCTCCACAAAGCAGCAGCGCAGCACCGGCGACCCCGTCTTGCTGTCCCCAGCCCTGCTCCAGAATCCCTGTTTGGGGTGGAGGGCAGCCCCTCGCCTCAAGCAGGGTCCAGGGAAAATGAGATGCCCTGGAAATCTTCCTCAGAGCACCTGCCTCCAGACTGCTGCCTCCTCACTCCAGTGCAGAGGGCTCTGAGGCTGGAAGGGACGCTCGCTGGCCTTCTGCCCGTGGTGCTACTATAATGCTGCACTGCCTACCCCCTGGGCAGCAGCAGCAGGGCACCTTGGGAACAGCCACCCCTGGGACTGCAGTCCCGCTCCCTCCCCTTGTCCCAGACACCACTCTGCTCACACTGGTTGTCAGCCTTGGCCTGTGCCTCTACTATGACAGCCTTTGTTCTGGGGCTGTCCTTTCCCTGTCCCTTCTCTATCTCTACAGCTGCCATGCAGTCAGCTCCCTCTTTCTGCAGACCATGCCTGGGGTGCAAGCCAGATGCTTGGAAGTCTCTGCAGCTTCAATAACCAGGGACACAGACCAGCACTCCAGGGCATAGTGCTGGGAAAAGGAGGTAGTCAGTATTGCTAAATAGTGCTCCATAACTGAGAGCATCTGTCCTCTGCAGACACAAGCTAATGCTAAGATGGAGGTGATCAGTCCTTCCTGACCATTTACACGCTGCCCCAAGAGCATGTCCAGCAGCTCATACCCAGCTTGCCCTTCAAGAGCCTGAGTAGACATTGCACAGGCATAATGAGAGGGTAAGGTTCATATCCTTGCACCAGCCCAGTACTAGCAAGGAATAGCCCTTGTCCCCTGCTGCTTTCCTAATCCGTTCTGATTCCCTGGGTTCACACAAGTCAGAGATGGAATAGACCTATTAAAGTGAATCCATTCATGTGCCTAGGCAGGATCCCAACATCCTTCCCTTCCACTGAGGGCATATTGGCTCTGGTCACAACTGTGTACAAGGGCATTTCCATGTTTCCACTGTGGGTATGGAATTTTGCATGCATTTCTGTCCTTCTCACTATCCTCAAAATGCTGTTTCACCATCTTCCTCTGATGGTCCCATCCCGTACGTCCTGAGAAGGATCAGTGTTCTGCAGCTCTCCCAGCCTCTGCCAGCCAGGAGTGCCTGTGGAGCTGGATCATCAGCCTCAGATGCTTCTCTCTGGCTGCACATTGCCATGCAGCAGAGCCTGCTAACTCATGCTGGGGGGTTGAACCTGATCTGTGCTGATTTGTTTTTCAGAGATCTAAACTTAGTAGAGTTTACTTTCAGACTAACCTGGGGAGGGATCAGCACCTGGGGAACTTGATAGGGAAGTGGCTGCCCTAGAGGGAGAAGTGAGAATACATGACTCCATCCATAACCTTCTTGGAAGGTCACTGGAGTGAAGCAGACTCTTGAGTTAGCTGGTACAGCAAAAACTGTCGTTAAAATGAACCTATGTCCCTGCTACATGTTTCTGCTGCTACAGGTGGGGATTGTGAGGGAGCTGGTGGTGGCTAATGCTGGCTTTCCTAGCCTGCTTTGTGAAATTGTGGTGCTAGGCTGGAACATCACCATTCCTATAAGGAAAATTAGAGAGACTAATCTGCTTCTTGAGATCTTCAGCACCATAAATCCCATTGGCCTTTTGATTAGTACAATGGCCATTTAATATCTGAAAGAATATACTGTACGGTTTCAAGGAGATGGACTTTCTGATCAAACAGGTCTCTTCCATCTTCAAGGACCTTGGGGCTCATAGAATCATAGGAAGTAGGGTGGGAAGAGACCTCTAAAAGTCATCTATCCCTGCTCCTTGCTCGAGACAGAATCAACCCCATCCATCATCCCATACAAATCCTTGTCAAATCTATTCTTAAAACTACACAGTCAATCCTATTGCACAACTACAAGACATATTGCCCAAAGCACCCTTAACCTGCCACAGGGAAAGCAGGGGAACAACTGTGGCTAGTGTCTGGCTGCTGCAAGGGTTGTATAAACGTGCTCAAGAGATGCAGTTTTTTAAAATCAGTTGCAGAGAACTATGACTATGTTGCAGAGATATGTGCTGACCAGAGGGCCTGCATTGGGGAATTTCTTTCTATGCTAGCTAAAAGAGAGCAGCAGGCTATTCTTTTTCCAACAGTCTTAATTGTTCCTAATGCAGCAGTGGAGTCAGTAGCTCTGCCTTTTAGCAGTTCTCTGCAATGGAAAAAAACCCTACCCAAAATAAATTGGGGCTGGGTTAATGCGAGTAGCCATATGGGGCTACTGCAGAATTCTGGCTGTCTCTGAGAAACCCTGACAATGGAGAGACGGACCAGCAGGCACTCTGACACTAAACAAGGGCTGCTGAAAGAGAGCAGACTTTAGTTAATGGAGGAGAGAATTCCTCCTGGACATGAAGCTATGGACTAAAACTGCAGCAAAGCAGATTTCAATTACATCTCTGAAAAAACTCCCTTACTGTCGGGGCAGTAGGACAATGAAGCAAGTTGCCCAGGGATGCTGCAGATTCTTCTTTGGGGTTTTCAAGGTGAGGCTGGGTAGTCATTTGCCTGCAATGCTTTTGGGACAGAGCATCCTGCATTTTTTTCAGTTGATTGGAGTAGCTGACCTGTTAAAGTAGTCTAACCCACTTATTCTGTCCATCCCGCTTTTCCTCTTGCTTCCTTGTGCTTCCCCCACTCTAGTGAGGCTGGATAAGCTGTCTGAAGTTGCCAAGCTGAACACAAATGCCATCCGCTCTGCCCAGGAGGAGATTTCTGAATACCGCCGGCAGCTCCAGACCAAGCTGACAGAACTTGAAGCCCTCAAGGGAACCAAGGAATCTCTAGAGAGGCAAAGACAAGACACAGAAGAGCGCCATCAGATTGATGTTACATCCTACCAGGTAACATGTAGCAAAGGGTAGAACTGAAAGAATAGGACAACAGGGTTAGCTCTGAGGTCTCTGAGCATTTAGTATTGCACTATGATCTTCTCCTGCAAATCATTACCAAAAGGGCATTGCTGCCTTTTGTGGGGACTGGAGATCAGCTTCCCTTGCTGTTGAGACAAGATCTTGTTATTAGTGATGTTCTTAGAATACTACAGGCCACATGAGGGTGGAATCAAATCTGGATACAACTGATCCAGAAAAGAGGTGGGTATCTGATCTCCTGGGACTTCAAGGTGAGACTCTCCCCAGTGACTTGCACACTACTGTCTGGCTAGCGTCCCACTATCTAGCAACTGATGTAAATAAGGTCTGGTCAAGGAGAGTCCAGTGCATGTAGCTGCAGCTCAGACATTGCTTTGCATGTGGAAATGGGTGTCTGCTGTGAACCAGGGCAGTCCAAACCAGACTGGATCTCCCCCTGTATTTCTGATGCAGGAAACCATACAGCAGCTGGACAATGAGCTGAGGAACACCAAGTGGGAGATGGCAGCTCAGCTTCGAGAGTATCAGGACCTGCTGAATGTCAAAATGGCCCTGGATATAGAAATTTCTGCTTACAGGTATGAGACTAGGACCAGGAAGTGGGGAGTGTAGATGAGGTATTAGGAGCTAAGGCCAATGTTTGGGCTTTTGAAGCCAGTCCCTCAAAAATATTCAGAGCTAAGCATGCCCAAGCTGTGCTTTCAACACCTCTGCCCCAATCCACAGGAACAATGCAGCATTGTCACCCTCAGTGCCTTCCCTCCAATGGACAACCTAATTTATTCCACAGTCTTCCCTCAGCATCAAGCCAAATATCCAGCAGGACCAGTTTTTTAGGCCACCACCCTCCTTGCACCTAAGAAACCATTTGCCTTTGAGGCACAAGAGGTGCTACCACATTAAACACCAAGCCACTGGAGTCTTAGGCTGGACATGGCTTCTGAGATTTCTTCCAGCCATGGGATGCATGCAGAGATCAAGGGGTGAAACCCTGTAGCACAGGTGTCATCAATATATGGTCTGTAGCTCAGATTTGGTCTGGAGAGTCATTTAATCTGGCTGAGGATATGGGACTTTGGAAGTGTTTGGTGGGAGAGGGCTTTAGCAGCAGTCTCTCTGTTTCTACATTGACTGCCATGGAGAGACATGGCAGCAGCTAGGTCTTAGTGCTCATCTCACTACCTGCCTCTTACTCAAGTGGAGTCATTCTGATCCCTAACCTGTAAAGGCTGCTAACTGCTGCTGTAGCAGGTTTGTGGGAGAGCAACCCAGTCTTCCAAGCCCTGTTTGGGAACATCCTGTATTCAGTATCATTGATGGGTTGGAGCCTCATCATCGAGGGATTGGAGGACTGAATATCAAGTAGAAATAAGGGAATCCTTGGTAAATGAGATCTCAAGAGGTTACTAAAGCAAAGGCAAGGCTACCAATGCCATTTGGGGGTTTAAAAAGCAAAATCTGACTTCCCTTTTCTACCTACCCTACTCTCCCCAACAGAAAGCTCCTGGAAGGAGAAGAATACCGCATCGGAGTTGGGCCATTCCCCTTCCCCGAGATGCTTCCTAAGACTCCCAGCATCCCTACCCACATAAAAGTGAAAAGTGAGGAGAAGGTCAAGGTGGTGGAGAAGTCTGAGAAGGAAACTGTAATTGTGGAGGAGCAGACGGAGGAAATCCAGGTAACAGAAGAGGTGACGGAGGAAGAGGAGGCTGAGAAGAAAGAGGAGGCTGAAGGGGAGGAGGAAGCAACTGAGGCAAAAGAGGAAGAAAAGGGAGAATCTGAAGCAGAAGCAGAGGGTGAGGAAGAGGAGACCAAACCCCCAGAAAAGGAGGAGGCCAAGTCCCCAGCTGTCAAATCCCCTGAGAAACCTGCATCCCCCACAAAGGAGGAGGCCAAATCCCCTGAGAAACCCACACCCCCCACAAAGGAAGAGGCCAAGTCGCCAGTGGTCAAGTCCCCTGAGAAACCCATATCCCCCACAAAAGAAGAGGCCAAGTCCCCGGTGGTCAAGTCCCCATCCCCTACAAAGGAAGAGGCCAAGTCCCCGGCGGTCAAGTCCCCTGAGAAACCTGCATCCCCTACAAAGGAGGAGGCCAAGTCCCCAGTGGTCAAGTCCCCTGAGAAACCCACATCCCCCACAAAGGAGGAGGCCAAATCCCCAGTGGTCAAGTCCCCTGAGAAACCTGCATCCCCCACAAAGGAGGAGGCCAAGTCCCCTGAAAAGGTCAAGTCCCCCACAAAGGAAGAGGCCAAGTCTCCAGCAGTCAAGCCCCCTGAGAAACCTGTATCCCCTGCAAAGGAAGAGGCCAAGTCTCCAGAGAAGGCCAAGTCCCCTGTGAAGGAGGAGGTCAAGTCACCAGAGAAAGAAGCTGTCCCCAAGAAGGAACCCATCAAATCACCCCAGAAGGAAACAAAGGCACCTGTGAAAGAAGAGAAACAAGTGGAGAAAGAGGAGAAAGCCCCAGCCAAGCCAAAAGCTGAGGAAAAGGAAGAAAGCAAGAAAGAGGAGGCACCCAAAAAGGAAACCCCAGCCAAAGAGCCACACAAACCTGAGGCTAAGGTTGAGAAGAAGGAGGAGGAGAAACCCAAAGAGGAGGACAAGAAGAAAGCTGCTGCTCCTGAGCCTTCTGCCCCTGAAAAGAAAAAGGAAGCTGTGAAGGCTGAGGAGAAAGAGGTAAAGGAGAAGGAACCTCCCAAACCAGCACCAAAACCCAAAGACGAGAAGGTG